TTATATATATAGTGTGTGTGTGTGTGTGTGTGTGTGTGTGTGTGTGTGTGTGTGTGTGTGTGTGCGCGCGCGCGCGCGCGCGCGCGTGCGTGCATGCGTGCGTGCGTGCGTGTGTAATATTTAATATATTCAAATTTGTATATATACAAATAATTTATTCAAATATACATAAGTATTTAAATCCAAATATATTGACAAACTAATCTTATATCGAATTTGCAATAAAGAAAATCAGTGTTCGAAATTAAAATTGCAATATAACGTTTCTTTTATTTTTTTAGATTTTAGAAGTTTAATTCACCATACTATTTAGAAATTCAGTCAATTTTATTAATTAATTCCATGATTATCATTAAAATCATTAAAATAATCATCTCTTTAATTTTAATTCAATCTATAATATTCATAATGTAAAAGAACGTAGGTCCTGGAAAGTACCCTGTATAGTATATACTTATGAAGAAAGTCTCATCGTAATATACGTATAGAGTTTGAGCGCACGTTAGCGAGCAATTTTTCATGCAAAAAGAGCTGGATGGCACCAAGCTCTAAATTGTAGAGTGCAAAAGACGTAGTCTCGTATATGTTTTCGCGATCTGCACTTGAAAATGAAAATTTTGAGATAAACGAACCTACGATGTATACCCAGACGACACGTGGCGGTTGACTCCACACGTTCAGTATCTCTATAATGTGAAATACGAAGAAAAAACATATATCACATTAAAAGGTTTCACATTGATCTAAGCGTCTTGCTACATCCAAGCAAACATCCCTGCATGCCTGCAGCGTAGGGTGACTTGAAAATATTCCTTCTTTTTCGTTGCTCTTCGGTATCATTTGCCCTGGTCGAAGATAATTTCGAACTATCCTCGTAATCATTCTCGCAGTTTTTCGAGTCACTCCCACACACAAACACACGCATACACACCTATGGCACGATAGATTTACAGGAGATGCTTGAGATTGCCGTCCGGTGATAAACGTCCTACATATGTATGTATGTACATGCACTTCTTTCGGGTAAGAGTAGTGCAAATCAGTAGGAAACACGGTCGATTATCGTGAGAATGATGCATGTTGCACGGCAGGCAGATGCGTCCGACAAATTGAGCAGGTTACACCTAGAAGGAGTCTAGGAGAAAAATAAACTAGAAATAGGGAGGGAGAGAGAGAGAGAGAGAGAGAGAGAGGCAAGAGTAACGTTCCCATGCTGTGACTGAAAGTTCATTTAATCCTCCTAGTCGATTATTCCTCTCTTGTCGATTTAACCTCTCAATTAAACTCAACGATCTCACACGAGATATAGAAATAAATAAATAAATTGATAAATAAGTATGAATTCATGACTATAACCACAGCTATTAATGAGAATTAATATTTTTAATTTCTAATTTTTAGTTTTTAACGCCACACATTCGGTTGTTTACTCAAATTTGCGTGTTGCGAAAAAAATAAAATATTTTAATAAATCCAGATTTTTATAATTGAATACAAATTAAAAATAATTGATATTTTTATATATTCATTCATATGTAACATATATAAAAATTCGATCGCGCATTAATTATACTAATATATATCGATAATCTTAAAGGAGTGACGAATGTATGTGATGTCTTTAGTGGTATTTTCTAAGAGAATCGTCTACTACGTAACCATGTATAAAAACATGCTAATTTGTTTGTATCATAAACTATCAAAATTAAGTTAAATTTTTGAACTATTAAAAAAAAGCTTAAAGACAAAACGCATAGCTATTTTATGCGTTTCAATTTTGTGCACATAAACTAATCTAGAAACGTTCGAAAAAATTATCTATTAAAAGATTAAGAAATGTTGACACGTTCTATTTACTGATTTATAATTTATTATATGACATTTTTCAGAGGAGAGCGACAACATAAATTCTTCATGAAAAAGAATCTCTTAATATATCATAGAAATAAAAACATAAAACATAAGATCAAAGTTTGTTAACTTAAAATTAATCTAGCGTTAATTGTAACAATTTTAATGATTTTTTTTATTCAATTTGTAATAGCTCGACATATGTATGTATATCTATATTGAAAAATATTGTCCTCGCTTTTCCGTGACACTGATTAGTTGTCAATCGCGTACGCAAAATTCAAATCGGACAGTGATGAATATTGGCAGATTGACATTAGCGATTGATTGAATACTGAGAAACGAGCAATATAGAGCAAATAATAAAATATTATATAAAATATTAAATGTCATGTAAAATAAAATATCGGAAAACAAATAAAAGATTTTATTGCAAAATATCTATTTGACTATATCAAATTTTTATTCGTTTTAATAGTTCTCTCAAAGTCTTTCAATCTCAGTATAGTCTTGCGAATCGCATATAACAAATAATTAAAAATATAGTTTGTGATTAATATTGAGACTTTTACTATAATTTTAAATTATTCCAATTATTAATAACAAATCTTTCATATTTTCAAGTTAAACGATTCTTATCTCCCCTCGATACTCGATATGAAACTGTAACATTTTGACATTTAGTGACAGTTGTCAATTCTAATTATTTAAGAATATTATTTATAACAACAAAAACAGATAAATTGATGGAATTTTATTCGCTTATAATCAAGAATTGTATTAATTCATTATTGTTCATCTTGTTAACCTTGTATATCTTTAAATAATTAAAACATAGAAACAAAATATCAATTGGATGCTAAAAGTAACGTTCCGAATTATAAGAAATATTTAGAGATCTTCCATTTAGAGATCCATTCATTAATGTCGTAATATTTTAAATATCATAAAATATTCATTGGATATTAATACGTATTATAGATGAAATTTATGATTGTCGCTCACCATCGCGATATTCGACGATCGTCTTCGAGAGAGAGAGAGAGAGAGAGAGAGAGAGAGAGAGTATATATATCTCGTCTCTCGAGACGAGCGTGAGAACGAACCTATCGTTCGACAAAGAGGACGACAAAGAACGTCGACGGCACGGATACGATACGATACGGTACGGTACGGTACGGTACGGTACGGACTGCGGGAAAATCGGCAGATGGGGAAAACAGAAAACGAAGGAGAGTCGGAGGAGGATCGTGTCATATGGAATCAAACGTGAAGTCATAAGGGAGGTTGGAAATGTGAATGTTTCGCAACCTTGCCCATACGGGGGTGCGAAGCTTCCGTTTCTGGGTTATCACCGCGTGGCCCTGTGGTCCGTCCGAGTCCAAGCCGCCCCCTAGGGATGAAGACGTCAGGCCCGCCCCCCTACGTGATGATCGAGCGCACTCATTCCCGCCTGAACTCACCCTGCGGTAGTGCTTGTTAGTTCATGTGTAAAAAAAGATTAGAATAATACAAGATTACAATTTTTTTCTTTCGTTTCTTTTTCCTTTTTTCTTGTAATTTTAATATCACCGCTACGACTGTATTCTGCTGCATTCTCATCGATGATTCTTCTCGCTCTACTATACGTAGCAATAAAGTCGAATATAACAGAGTATAGTAGAATATAACAGAGTACGTTCGATGCGTCGTGCTTTACGGTTGCATAGTGTCACTGCTGAAAATAAAAGACTGCGGGATATATAAGCGAGCTCATCGCATTTTTCTTGCACATCGTACTTGCGTGAGCAAAAAATTAGAAAAGAAATTAAGCATTTAGATTCAAGCGACGAAATCTTCAATTCAAAAACTTTTCGATACTCTTCGGACGTAGAGATGTGTATAAAGAGATATGTGCAAGTGGCCAGCTGCGTGCTACTTTTGCACACGATGCACAAGTATATATCTCGCACAAAGATATATCTCGTCGTGTGCGCGATGCTCGAATAATATATAGCCATAAATAACATTTCGACAATGTTAGAAAAATAAACTAAAAAACAGAACAAACTTTTATATTTATTTAAATCGTACGATATAAATTTGAGTGTACAAATGTGCGTTGCAAAAGTATATGATAACAGAGATCATCAGGCATAGAAATTTGAGATCATGCTGAGATGATGTACTGATTATGTAAATAATTCAAGAGATCAAGATTATTGATTGTCAAAAAGGTGTAGGTTTTTTAATGCGTATCTTCACGCACATTACGCGTACGAAACAAGTTATAAAATGGAAAATCATGTTAAAAACAAAAATTCACTTGCTTCCTGTGAGGATTGAACTCACGACCCCTGGTTTACGAGACAGTGCTCTAAAATCATTGAGTTAAAGAGATATCGACATTCTGTGGCTTCTCTTTGGCGAATCCACAGAAATCCTGGCAAAAAGAGATCCTGGATCGTTGTGATTACGTGCGATACAAAAAAAAAAAAAGAAGAGAATGTCAACGCTCTTATGTCAAGCGTAAAGATTTATCAGCTATATTTAATCTCGCTCGCATTCATATGGAAAATGGTCTTTGTTCTTAATAGCTAACTGGATCTCTGATCATCCGATAATTGAACAGGGGGGATTGTGAGTTTTATCCGGCACGACGCATCGCGAAAACGAATATTACAAAACCAAGGAACATTGAATCCAAATTGCACTTAGCAAATGGAAAGAGATCGTGTCGTGTTAAAGATCACGCTGCGACTCTATAGTAATGAAATAGATAATTAATCGCAGTCAACAATGCAAACGTCATGTCATGTCTTCATGATATAATCAAATCGATTAACGTTACTCATCATCACGTAAAACACACAATGATTGTCTACACACAAATTCGTGTATACGTCCGATATTGATGCACAAATGCTGCATTAATGCCGCATTAACAAATTATAAAACATTTTCAACTCAATCACCTTCTTATTAGATGTCAGGTTATTATGTTATTCTCAACAATTATCGATAGTGGTTACGAAAGAGAATCATTATTAATCGCAAGATAGAGTGCTGGCAGGGCCTGCAAATTTCGATAAAAAAAAACAGTACTTGAAATAGTCGCAGGTAACGATTAATAAGTAACGATAGAAACTATTTGTTGTTTTCGTTTACGAAAAGGCTTGAAACTTTCACATGATAAAAGAAACTTACTTGGTTTCGTCGATGAAAACAGCCTCGAGCACGCGAGCTGCGTAGAGCAAGTTTCGTTGAAGTAATTCGGCGGATATCTCCCCATGTTGTAGCTGCCTCAATAAACACCTCAATCTGCAAAAGAGAGTATCTCGGAGTCGTTTCCTGTGCGCCAATAACGTATCTTCTAAACTAGACGTTCGTTTCCAATCGCTTTCCAATAATTGCGCGACAACTCGAGATTGCAAACGCAATTCTATTTAACTCTTGGAGGATCAAAGAAACGAATATTTTCTCGCGAAATTCGAATCTCACGTTAAATCAAGTATTTAGAGTAACGTTATTTAAGAAAGACAAAATATTACACAGAAATTTATGTTAAAGTTCAGTTAAAGTAATTATTAATACGCAATTGATATAAAAATGATATATGACTACCAGAGAATGGCATCTTTTATTGTCAACTCGCAATCAGAAACAGATTATTTACGTATATACGTATATACTTTTTGTAAATCTTTATCTAAATCTAAAGTGTTGTATTTTCCACCAAGTGACATCAATATCGGGATATGATACCTGAGGGCAGCTTTGTCACACGCGTCGGGAGTATCAACGGCAGGAAGCGAATCCGTTGTGAGATCGACATTATCTAGAATCTCCTCGAGATCGACGGATTGACTCGATAAATATGAAGCGTCAGGGTTGTGCGGTGGTGGAGAACTTTCGAAATTGCCACCGCTGATGCTTTTGCTTTTGCCAGAACTTCGGCGTACTATCGTCAAAGTGCCCTGTTCTGAAACACAATGAAAACATACAGCGTAATAGCCTTGATCAGTACGCTTAAACGGAAGAACATGCCGAGTCAAAAAGACAATTCAAAGAGCCGGGAACGGTAACTTAATATTAAAATATTTCACAAAAATAGAAAAAAATTTATAGAAACTCTAATTAATAATAATATAATATGTACTACATATACATATAACTTTTTTATATTTGACAAATTATTATCATTCGAGAAAATAATTTTAAAATCGAAAATAGAAATACATCGAGCTTTTTTGTTTTATCAATTCACGTAATTGTTTTATCAAATATATCAATTCACCAGTGTGTAAAACACGGTACCACGGTACCAATGCGAATATTGACATATTTTACTGGCAAAAAAAGAAAAGAGGGAAAGATTCACTTTTGATTTCACTTTTGATAAAAACGTACGTACAAACGTATACTTGCGCATACTTGCAAATATTGCAAGTCGGTAAATGTATAGCACCTTGTGAATATGTAAATAGATAAAGCCCAGCTATCGAAGTGTATTTCGGTGGGTAATAATACCTCGAAAACTTACTGGAGAGTTGGCCGTTCCGACCGGGAGAAGAGGAAGGATTGCGCGATCTCGAGGACGTTGCGCCGCTCGCGCTGCTGCAGCCGGTAGTAGCCGCATTGTTCACCGCTATACCAGCCGAAGCCACGCCGATATCGTCTCTCGTGACTCGTCTGTCCGGTGGAGATGCGACTGGAATTTCAAAGGAAAAAAAAAAAAAAAAACAATAGAAAAATATAGCAATATCGATCAATTAACATTTTGCAATTGCGCGCTGACGAAGCGTGTAAAAATATACACGTGCGTGCATTCGTATGTATTTATATCAGTCAATGCGACTGAACTGGAAAATTATTGTAGTATATTGCATCAATATTTATTCTACAACGGATTGGATATATTCCAATCCGTTAAATTGGTTTTTTTAAATCTGTTTTTATTTAGCTCCAGCTTCATTATCCTATCCAAGCACAAATACACGCAAATTCAAGTAATACCTTTATAACAAGAAAAAGATTACATCAGAAATTGGATATAACGGAATGCTTACACGTACGGAACATTCGTGTATAACAGAAATATCCACGTGATATAGCTGCTTAAACCTTAATAAATTTACGTTTATATATGTACGTTTTTATATATATGAATAAAACATACAAGTACATAGAAGTATAAATTTATCTAAGCTTAGAAAATTTACAAGATAAAAGAAGAAAGTTTAAGGTTTCGAAAAAAACCAAACAGACGATTTCACAGATGATGTTTTAATGCTGATTAGCTTTCGTGACGCAACATTTAATTAAGGCATCTTGTCGCAAGTATATAATGATATAATCTTTGCATGTGCTATATCACATATCAAACAAACAAATAAAAAACATTAGTCATCATAACTAATTTGATAAATGTAATGTAAAACAAAGTGTAAACTATATCACTGCGATAAAACCGCAGTGGCAAAGCAGTTATCGATCGGTAACACCTGTCTATAGCCCGCGAATTAGTCTCATAACTGATCGATCGCATACGAATTACCAATAGTTCCATAGTGATTATGCTAATCACAAGTTGAAGTGTTTCTAAACGTCGAGAATTACATTTACCACGAAAAATCTCTAAAGGAGATGAGAAACAAACCCAAGATGAGTATCTATATTAAAGATCGCAAAACTACTAAAAGTTATCTAACGTTTAAAATGTTTAGAAAAAGAATTATTTATCTTTATTGCTCAAATACCGATGCATTAATTTAACAATCAATTTAACAATGGATATGCAAATATCGTGTTCATCAAAAAACAAGGTTTAAACAATGAGAGAGAAAAATACAAAATAACAGATAGAAGTATTTGGATAACAAGTTAATTTGAATTTTTAAA